TTCCTGCTGTACCAGTGGCTAAGACAGCAGTGGCACTGAACACCAATATTTTTATAGATCAGCGGGGTTTAGCAACAGAAATTTAAACACGGGCTCAGATGAATGCTAGAAACTGGATTCCAAGGCTAAGAGGCTTATCATATACTCAGTTGCTTCCAGAGAAATTAATTTCCATCTTGTCTGGAAGTTATTGGAGGTGCTTGAATTGGAGCCTTGAATTCTGCATATTTCAACAACAAATTTCTGCCATGACCAGTTCCACAAGTTTGTGTTCTCTGCTCACTGGAAGTCCTGGGTGGGGGCTTTTCTCTGCAATTGCAAGTAGGACTGTAGGTGGAAACAAATTTTGTATTTTTGTATGACTTGACTGTGCACCATTTTTATAGCAGTTTATCCTGTTTTAAAAGGAAATTTGTTTTATTTACATGGTGTTTAAAAGATACAGGCAACACTTTTCTATGGGTAGTTGTAATGTTTAAGTGACGAATCTCTATCATTACAAAGTTCTTAATAAAATCGTGTGCACCATTCTTGAGTGTATATCTGGCATGCAGAGCTTCTCAGTCATGCCGAAGAGACATTCCATCCACACGCAGGCTTTCCAGTGGCCATTTTGAATGTCCTTTGCAGTTCATTTGCAACCAAACTACAAGCTGCCCTCTTCCAGCTCTGTCTTGTGCAAAGAGATAAGCAGAAGACTGACATCTGAGGAGACAACTTTTCAGGACAAATTTAGACTCTACTTTCCTTCCCTAGTGGGGATAGTGGAGTAGGAAAACATTTAACATGTAAATCCCCAGTAGACAGTAGAGGTGCTGGGGTCTGCCAGTTGTGATGGATTAAATATTTTTTTTTTTTTTGCCAGCTGGTTATTAAAGCCAGCATATGGACTACTTTGTGGTAAGCAGTCTAGGCTAACTAGAGAGTGATGCTGCACTGGGAGTAACAATGCAGGAGGAGCAGGTGAGACAGCTGAGATAGACAAATCATCTCCTTGGAAAGTCCACTGAACCGAGCAGTGCTTGAGGACTGGAAATTCAGGCTGGACAGTTTGGGTTTAAAAACATAGTCAATGGGATTACTCATTCCCAGCATTTGGTTTCTGCAGACAGTTTGCATCATAGCCTCTGATCAGCTAGGTTTCAAAGAGAAAAAAGCATGCCATACTTTAAATTGTTGAATTTTCTTTCCACATTATTTTACTCTCTGTTCAGTTTGGAAGCCGAGCAGCAGTGTGTCATCTTTTTTGCTTCTTCCAGCCCTAGAGATTTTTTTTGTTCTTTTTGCTCTTGTTTCTGTATTGCTCTTTCAGCAGAGGAGTGCCAAGAGCTCCCCTTTGTCCCACCGGTCTTAGCACCTGCCTCCTCGCCTTCCCGGGGCAATGATTCAGGATATCACCTGGACTGAATGGGAGGCGGAGTAGGTGCTGAGCTGAAGTTCTGAAGTGGGTTTTTTTGTACGATACCACTCAGTCGCTGTGCTTGATGTGGTTAGGAGAGCAGCCCACCACTTCCACAGTTACAGTGCTGCTCTACAGCTAGAGTAAACACGTGGTATGACCAGCTTAGAATTCCATCTTCAGCCTTCCAGTAGCTTGTGTTCACACACTGAGCTGCCAAAACCAGGACTGGGTTTTACATGTGGCCTTAGCTTGGCATGGCAACCCAAGGACTTTCTGCATTAGGAAAGCACGCCCTTGAGGGAGAACTTAAAGTGGAAGACTCAGTTACAGGTTCTGGTGTGTTGACCCTGGCTGGCAGGTAAGCCCCTACTCCATTGCTTGTGCACTTTCCCCGGTAGGATGGGAGAAAGCATTGGAAAGGCAGTTCATTAAGTAAAGGGGGGAAAAAAGGAAAAAGAAACCCAAGTGATGCAAAGGCAGTCGCTCACCACCTCCCACCAGCAGGCCAATGCCCAGACAGTCTCCGAGCAGTGGCTACTTTGGAAAACTTCACCCTCCTCCCTCGCTCCCTCCCTCCCCCCTTCCAATTTTATTGCTAAGCATGGCGTTACGGAATATGTATGGAATATTTCTTCACTCTGTTCAGGTCAGCTGTCCTGGCTGTGTGCCCTCCCACCCTCTTGCCCAACACCAGCCTACTCTGCTGGGGCGGCAGAGTGAGAAACAGAGAAGGCCTTGACCCTGTGCAAGCACTGCTCAGCAACAGGTGAAAACACTGTTGGGTTATCAACACTTGTTTTGGTCGCACATCTAAACCACGGCACCTTATGGGCTGCTGTGAAGAAAATTAACTCCATCCCAGCCTAACCCAGTACAGAAGTCCACTCACCCAAGAGTTAATCCAAGACTCACTCCCTGCGTTTCTGTACAGCACCTTCTCAGGGTGGTTACTTCTTTCTGAAAGGGCTTTTTCAGCAGCAGGCAATTAGCCTGCTCCACAGTGCTCCCTTTCATGGAGGGAGCAGGGGATGCTAGCTCTTTACTCTTTCAGCACAAAATGGGGATATAAAGCAGAAATGAGCCCTTTCTGTATCAGTGTTCTGGCAATTGAGCAGCCAGTGTTGGAGACAACATACTTAATGTGCCCTCAGGGCATGCACTTTAGAGGTTTGCTCCGAGTGGTTATGATGTATTCTATGAATGTATGTTATAGAGTCAGAATAAAATGCATGTAGCAGGCATATACTTATCATCACCATCCAGTGATCATTTGGTTCTGAGTGCATATTACATGCTGTATTGAACATGGCACTGTCATTTTAAGAAACACTCAAGATTTATAAGTAGATACCTAAGAGCATCTCTGTTTTTTAAATCATGGCTTTGCCTGTGCAGATACTGTTTACTAAATCTAAACATCACAAGTCCATTGTTTCTTGAACAGTTTGTGTGTCACATTGTCACCACAGAAATACTATTTCATCTTTGTGGAAAAAAACCCTCGTGTTTCCCAAAACAAAACCCAACAGACTTATTTGAAGCATTTCTTCCACTCAGCTTGTTTGTTGGGATAATGGAGGTTTACTCTAAATATTTCATTTTTAAATGCTCTTTCAACTGTTCATCTCTACTGTTATTTCCATCACATAACAAGATATTATGGAGACTAGTAAATTTGTATTTCTTGTGTTCTGTAGCAAAAACTGTTCTCAAGGTATTTTTTTTCTTTTATATTTAGAGAGATGAGAGAAGAGATGAAACTTGTCTCTTGTGATGTGAGTCATGTATAAAAGGCAGAATTTCTGGTCTGGGATGGAGCTGTGATGTGTCTTGCAGTGTTTGCAAGCTGATGCAATCAAGCCAAAGCTCTTCAGAGACATTAGGATTATGAAAATATTTCTAGGGACAATAGGTAGCACGAATTCATCTAAAAATACCCATTTGGAGGCTAAACTACCTGGCATTCATTTGACAGAGATGAGTTAAAACAGACTAGCAGAAAACCAGCAAACATCATCAGATTCTGCTCCCTTGCTCACTGGAGTGGTCAAGTGACATCTGAATATGAAGAGCAGAATTTGGTGGTTTAAGCATTTGCTACTTTTCTGTAGAAGCTTGGGACTCCCCTTAGAACCAAAGTTGCAAGAGTTCAGAGCAAAACTACCAGCCGACTTTGGCAGAACTAGCCTAATTTCAGTAACTTTAAAGACAGCTCTGGCCTCTCTAAATACGTGATGGAAGACGCTGGCAGCATAGCTGGCTACCAT